AGATTAGCCATATACATAGCACTATAAAATTGAGTGTACAATGGTCACCCTTATATAAATATAATAAATATAATAACTGCATCCGGGTCAATCTCAATCTTATTATTAGTAATAGTATAATTACTATAATATATCTCCCCTCCAGGATTTAGGAATACTTTATCTGACAGAATAATGAGATATTAAGTTACTTTTTTTAAAATAACTGTTGGCTTTAGGAATTTTATCACCGCAATCTTACTGTTCTAATTCCAAAGTAAGATATAGTTCTTTGATATTATATAAGATTATATACTTTTGGGAAGTTTATCTCATGTCTTAAGTCTGAAACCTTGTGTATAAGTAGTCTTGTTTTATATATTATTTTGTTATCTATTTTAGAAAGTATTATCCTGTTCTCTTTGCTTTCCGGATTATTATTTATATCTGTTATTATAGCAGATATCTCTTTAAGAATACTCTTCGCCAAATCTCTAAGTTAGTTACCTATATTTTATTAAATAAATATTTTAATCTGAAGGTAGCAGACCAGTGGCTAGAAAAATGATAGTTTTAGTTTTATTATATCTTAAAATTAAAAAAAAAGAGTAAGTAGGGCTTATAATATTTAACTATATCAAGAAATATTTGTAATAAGTTTTTGTGTCGTCCTTTCGGAAGGATAATAAGGGGTATAAAACTGTTTTGGAGCCTAACGGGTAAATCTTATATAATAATATATATAATCCGGGACAAATAAGTATAAAATACAAACCAAGCAAATCCTTAGACAGCTGCCTCGTTGAATATAAAAAGGATAACCTGCCACCTATCCTATATCTATCCCTTGTGATTTATTATATCAGAGTTAACTGCTACCCTATGTTATTAAATCAGCTACTATATCTAATATTGCCTAAATTCGCGAGAAGATATTTGAAAAGCCTGAAGCATAGTAACTTGTGATTAAAGTATATATAGATTAACTAGATCCTTATAATTATTATGTTTTAGTAAAAAGATTTGTTAACAAAATCTTTCTAAACTAGAAGGAAAATAATCAAATTTATTTCCTCGCCATTAAAATCAGGGGAGATCACACCTTTATAATGGTTAATATCAACAACTTTAAGTATAATTTTAATACAGCACATAAAATAAAAATTATTCTCCTAGTCTATATTATTTAGTATAAGTAAAGAGGATAGTTTAATATAAAATAGTCTCAAGAAAATAAACCTCTTACTATTAAAATAGCTGAGCTTTATAATCTTAATAATTTCAATACTATAACACTTTTTTTTGCGAATTTTAACCAGCCTGTTATATATAACTAACCGCGTGATATCTCTATTAACTGCTAATATCTATGAGTTATATCTCTACTTAATAAACTTATTTAATCAACCTTAGCCAGTAGTAGCTATCAGCTTTTTAAGTAAAAATTAGTAATAACTGAAATAAAGAATAAAAAGGGCAGGAGCATAAAAAGATCCGGCGGGCGCGAGATAGGAGACTAAATTAATAGGAAGAGGCACAAGACATGATATAATATAATTAAATATTAGGATTTTATTAGTTAGATTAAGTAGTAGTCAGCGAAGGAGCTGTAGGATTATAATACCCCGACCCGGAAAATTTACCAGACAATACACGATATAGCTTTAGTATATTATACCTTTGACTAATAATAAGTATAAATAATAATATAAATTTAATAAAGTCCCCCGACTTTTTAGATTATAGTTAACTAGGTTAAAGTCTATTACTGACATAATATCTACCACAGTAGTTAATTAGTCCATATATGGTCCAGCCTCATCTAGACTAATCTTTCACTTTTTTGCTAATTACCTCTAATATATTAAAATACTATAAAAAATTTATAAAATACTTCTGAGAATATTAAGAGGCCTAAAGCCTATAGATATTAAGTAATAAGAGGTTAATATCGCTAACTTCTCGGTATTCATCAGGTATAGAAGTTGGTTCAAAAAAAAGGGATATTATTATGTCTTTTGACAGTAAATAGTACACAGAATCACTATACACACTCCTTCTAAAGGACTGGTACATAATGTACTAGCACATAAATAGTGCTGACTCCATATAAATCGGGGGAAAGAGGAGGCAGGTATTTTTTTAGTTATAATAATTATTGCGCTAGAAAATAAACATAAACCATACAGTATAATCACAATTATTATCTGTCCTATCAGCAAAAACAATCAGTATAATAAAGGATTTCCTACTATAGCTAGCTGATCAACATAGTCTTAAAATCAGTCCGAGAAAAACTTACTGCTTTCCTAGTCAGGCTGATTTTATTAAGTAAAATATACACCGCATCTGTTATCCTCCACTATATTTACTTTTCTGTCTAAATTCAGCTTTTATTCAGAGTATAAAGGCCAATAATAATCTACTAATATCTAGTAGCCTGAGCTTTATAACTGTCTATTTCCAGTCCAGGCTAATTTATTCGAGCATACTAATCTGGCCAGGCTATGCCTTACATCCCGAGATAAGGCAGGCGAAGTGATATATTATTTTCGCCATTAGTCGCCTATACTAGCTACCCTAGGGTGGTATCTTAGTATTATAGGGTCACATCGGCGAAGAGTAATAGAGCCTATAGCTAAAGGCATATTAATATAATAATAGCGCAGCACTCCAAGATCCAGGTAGTCTAATCATAGCTTATAACCCGCGAGATTAGCGTGGTCAGGAGAAAGACAGAGGCAAAAATAAAGGTGCAGAGCCGGCAACCAACAGAAAAAGGGAGAGAGATAAAATAGGCATCATACATAATATATAATCAGACTTTGTTAGGGCCTGCTGGGGGTTTGGACGGTCAGTCTCTTAAATACAGATAATTAAAAATATAAATATTAGAAAGGCTGTCAGGCAATATAATGCCTTAGATAAACAGATGCCCTAATAATAGCAACCGGTAGAACAAAATAAATAAAATATAACTAATTTCACCGAAAAAAAAAAGGGAGAGAGAAAAAAAGCAGAATATTCAGCTGAAGATCTGGTCTAAAATAATAGAATAGGGGAATTTAAAAGTAAAAATAACAAGAAACAGGCGCAGCTGTTATTTCTGATAAAAAAAAAAGAGGATAAGAGTAAAAGGCGCAAGCATCTTTAGTATAAATAAGACTAGGGATCGCGATCGCGTGGGTGTAATATATAGGAGGCAGAATAAGAGAAAAAAAAGAACTATAAGAAAAAAAGACCAAAAACAGCAAGGACAGTTTTAATATACTTAGAGGAGCGGACGGGCGGTAATAATAATATAATATATTAGGTGGTTATCCCAAAAAAGGTAAAACTAGCCGCATACAGTAATTCACAGGTCTGCCGTTTACAGAGTACATAAAGCTGCCCTTACCCTTAATGCTTGTATTAAAACAGATAGCTACAGAGGATATTGTATATAGCAAAAGATTAACACAGGCGCGAAGCAAGAATATCCTAATAGTATAGCCTCTCTTATTCGTGTCTCCTTGGTTTTCCAGACCGGGAGCTAGCCTTATAGTATAATCTGGTAAAATAATAGACTTAAAAGAATAATATACTTTGGCCTGGAAAGTAAGCTATAATCTTAAACTATAATATTATCTTTTTTTTCTTTAGCCGCACCAGCAGCGCATTCTTATCTAATATATATAGTTTTTATTTCCCTGGAATATCTGCTGTATAGGGCCGAGATAGTATATCCAGGATCGGGCACGAAAGTAAAGTTATATACTGGTTTAAGACCTAAGTTAGATTTGACTATAAGAAGAGCACTCCCGCGGACACCTTAAATAGTACTAAAATAATAATATAAAACAGGAATAAAGTATTCTAGAGCACCAGAAAGAGGCTTATTTAAAAATTTCTGTTTCTTTTTTTTCTGACCTAATTACTCTATATTATAAAAGATTATATTCTTATTTTAGTAGTTATTAGTATCTTAAGCTAAGCGAAGTCACTTTTTACATACTACTGCAGCGGCCCTTATACTTATCCGGATGGCTCCTTGCTTCTATAATAATAGTAATATAATTATAGCTATTAACAGATAACGCGCCGGGCTATTAAAACTTAGTATTATTTAAGCACCAGAATATTCAGGAGTAAAATATATAGTCAGCAAAAAAGACAAGCCAGATAGGCCTAACTTATTTTTAGTAATACCAGCAACTCTAGCTGGCTCTAGAGTATTATTTGCCCAGAGGCATAGATTCTTACTTAGGCTAAATATCTGATTAAGCTCTATATTCTTTTTACAATCACCAGGGTGTATATTACCAGAGGAATAAAGGCCTGTAATAAATAATTTCTGCTTGGCTAATTTTTATTCGGAATTACTTATTACAGATTAGTTACTAACAGTATTATTTGCTTGTTCGGGTGCAGGTATTAGCGCGGTCACATAGGGCACGTAAGAGAGTCAGGAAGTCTCTATTTTCTTTATATCAGGAACTGTGTCTACAAAAATAAAGTCAGACAGTAAAACATTAGTAGCCAGCTTCTATCGAATGTTGTGCCAACTTACCAGGTAAGCCATTTTCTCGCATACCAGGATGAATGCAGTCAAGATGGTTTGCCTCTGCAGGACATTGTACAGCACGGCGTCAAGAATGATCTTCTTGGTCACTTTTCGACTCCTGTTGTCGATTCGATCGCCGCGAGGAAGGCGAAAGCGTGACTTGACTGATTTTCCGCTTGTGGCCAGCGGTTTTATTTGTGTCAGAGCCGGATGAGTTAGGTGACTGCGAGCATGGTCGAGTCTCCCAAGGCGCACAATTGCTTTATTGACGCGTCAAAATTGTAAAATAAATACAAAGTACGCGGTTCGGGAAGAAAGTGGCCACTCAGTGTCCGATTACGTAAACTAGCGCCAACACATAAGCGAATCCCACGAAGCGAATCATTTCGACTTCAGCGACGACGAGATCTTTTCATCAAACACCACGACAAGCAACTTGAGTGACTAAAACCTGCTGAAATCTAACTGCTAAAGCAAAATGGCAGGCACAATTAGCATATATGACCTTATCATAGTTGGTCACGGCGTGGCCGGTCTAGCCGCCATAGTATCAGCGGCGGAACTCGCTCCAGCAGCTCAGATTGCCGTACTAGAGCGCGCGCCTAAGGATGCCAGCGGGGGCAACACGCGTTATAGCCCGGCCAACATGCGCATGCGATCTGTTAATAAGATATCGCCTGGTTTCATGGATAATATAATAACCATCAGTGGCGTAGACGGCGACCGCGCCTATTTCGAAAAGTTGGCCGACCAGACACCGCAGGCCGTCCAGTGGCTCGAGAGACAAGGTGTACAATTTCATGCCATAGACTATTTCTTGAAATCATGGCCAAATAGGATTCAGCCCGTCAGCAAAGGTACCACCATAATCAAAGCACTGCAGCGATCTGCCAGGGTAAAAGGCATCCAGCTGGTGTACGAATGCCGCGCCAAGCAACTGCACCTTGGGAAAGAAGAGACCACTATCAAGGCAGCAGACGGGCGGCGATTCATTACCAAATCCGTTATTCTCGCCAGCAATAGATTTTAAGGTAATCCAGACCTCCTGCATACCTATTTCGGGACCGGTGCAGAATCTCTACGACCGATATCTCCAGGCACGCGGTGGAACACAGGTGATAGGATCTAAATGGCGCTGAATAACGGAGCTGCGGTAAATAAAAATTGGAATAACATACATAACAAAATAATTAATCCGCGCAGCGATATGCCTGCACCGCTCGTGCTCGTCTATCCTTATAGTATTATAATAAATTACAACAGAAAGCAATTTATTAATAAGAGCGCAGAGCTCATCCATAACACCTGGGAATAACTTTCACGAACTATCCACTTTAATATTCCAGGCCAGTCAGCCTGGGTAGTTTGCAATTCAAGACTCTCTAAGGTGGAAGGCTATGAAGCAACCATTCGCACCAACATCCCGCCTCTTACAGCAGACACAGTATCTGGCCTAGCAGTCTAGATAAAGGTGCCAGAACAGGCGCTCTTAAATATAATCTTAAGCTATAACACAGCTTGTGACACAGACATATCCTGTTTTTCTGCTAGCCATCTTGATGGCCTTATAACTAGGCTTAGCTTAGAACCTCCAAAATCAAACTAGGCCCGCCCGCTCAACACTCCGCCGTATTTAGCTTTTCCTTTAGCCGCTGCTATTATATACACTTTTAGTGGACTTACGACTGACACAGAAACGCGAGTATTAACCCAGCAAGGCACCATTCCTAACCTCTACGCCGCAGGTGAGGTTACCGGCCATTTCCATAACACCGCGCCAAATACTGTTGCTGTTTTACGCGCGCTTATCTTTGGGCGCATTGCTAGGCTCAATGTAATAAGCTCGAAGTAGATAGTAGGTTTAGTAGACAGTAGAGATATATGCATTAAGCAATCTTTTAACTTAGCATAACCTCATAGCTGGCTTGTGTGAACCCCTTGTCGAGCTCTGAAACACACAAGATTATGAAATTCTAGATATACAGTTTAAGTTTCCAGGTACAACCAAGACATTCCTCAGGAATAATTAGTGATTTTCCATCTTATTCATTGCACGTTCTGGTTCGAATACTATTGTACAGTTTAGGGTGTTTGACTGACGGCAAAGCGAATTGTACGTGAAAGCTATTATTTGATAAAAAACATCATTACGTGAATGTGGACAATCAGTTGGAATGACCGAGGCGCAGGGAAACAAATCACGAGGGTCACCACAGGCAAAGAACGCGTCTAGGCTGGCATATATAAATGTGCCACCTCCATCCAGTTTACTCTTTTGTGCCGTTTTTTTTCAGTCTACATTTCTCTCTATACCACGAGAAGCAAAGGGGTCATTTAGGTGCTAAAAACTCACCTGACTGGAAGAGAGTATTTCCCGCTCTAGGTACCCAATTATCCTGTTAGACAGAAAGCCCACCCTCGCTGGCCTTAGAGTATCCGTAATCTACGCGAAACCGTGATTTGCTGATATAAGTCGATTAGATCGAACATCAGATCTAGTCACCTTTAAGCTACCGCTTCCTCCTTCTAATTACTTTGACGTATAAAAGTTGACCAGATTACCAAGCTCTTTCTGCAGACAGAGAAAAAGCGGAGGCAGACATTGTCTTACTCAATAAGCGGGATAACATCCGACATAGGACTGAGTAGACTGCCTAGCACAATAGCCGGAGCTCTACAGGCCCGTCTATAACCAGGTGCAGCTGGCATCAGGGGGAACACCGAATTTATTCCCATATTTGCATAAGCTAGATGTTCCTATTTCGTTGATAATAGCAAACTGATTCTCGCTATCGTGATCAAATTTTATGTAATACACAAATAATAAAAAAGCTGATTCAATGTGATGCTTCAGAAACAATGTAATAGAGTATCATATACTAGTCCAAAATATCACAATAAGAGCCCCACCGCTTGACAATCTGGAGTAAGGAAACCCACAGGACTTTCTCAGTTAAGCTACCAGATATATAGTATATTTATTTACATGTCTCTCTTTCCCAAACTCTCAAAATTCCTTATTAGATTCTGGTGCTAACTTCAAATATTTATAGATCACATGACTAACATCAACCTCTGTGAAAGCATGTGTGATTACTCTATACTTGCATTAAAACAGCTGACTGCGGGAGAGTCTCAATAGGCATACACCAAAAAACATCCCGAGAGCATAGCCTGTCATACGCGTCTCCTCGGTTTTCCAGACCGAGAGCTGGCCTTATTACGTAATTTGGTTAAATAGTAAACTTAGAGTAATGACATATTTCAGCCTGGGAAGTGAGCCGCAATCTCAGACTATAGCATTGCCTTCCTTTCTTTTAGCCATACTAGCAGCGCATTCTTGTCCGATAAATACAGTTTTTGTTTTCCTGCAGTATCTATTATGCGGGATTAAGATAATATCAGACTAGGATCAGATATAAAAGTAAAGTAATAAGCTGGCTTGAGGCTAGAATTAGATTCGACTGTGAGGAGCATACTCCCGCGGATACCCTAGATACTACCAGAACAATAGCATAAAACGGGAATAGAATAGTCTGAGGGGCTAGAAGATGGCCTGATTAAAGATTTCCGTTTCTTCCTTTTCTAACTTAGTTATTCTGTCCCATAGGTTACGTTCCCATCTTGGTAGCTGCCGGTACCTCAACCAGAACAGAGTCACTTATTACATACTGCTACAGCAGCCCTTGTGCTTCTCCTGGCAGCCCCTTGTTTCCAGGACAGTAGCGGTACAACAACAGCTATCAACAGGTAGCGCACCGGGCTACCAGAACTCAGCGTTATTCAAACACCAGAAAATTCTGTAGCAAAGTACACAGTTAGTAAAGGGGACAAACCAGATAGGCCTAACTTATCCTCAGCAGTACCAGAATCTCTAGTCCGCTCAAGAGTATTATTTACCCTAGGGCATGGGTCTCCATCTAGTTCAGATGTCTGACTTGGTTCTGTTTCCTTTTTGCAGTGCCCAGGGTGCATATTATTTGAGTAAAAAGGGCCCGTGATAGACAGCTTCGGCTTGGCTGATTCTTCTTGGGAATCATCCACCGCAAATAGGTTGCTAAAGATAGTGCTCGCTTGTTCGGATGCAGGCACGGGCGCAGTCGCACAGGGTACGCACGAGAGTCAAGAAGCCTCAATTTCTTTAGTATCAGGAACTACATTAAGAAAAAAAAGTCAGATAATAAGAGAAAGACTCTCGACTTTCATCAAGTGTTGCGCTAACATACCCGGTGAGTCATTTTCCCGTATATCAGGAGGAATACGCTTAAGGTAGTCTGCCCTTGTAAGACATGGGACTGGTATTATAGAGTCTCTTAATAACACTAGCTCTGCCAGCGCGGAACTTCCATCATATAACAGAACATCATTGGTAGATGGCATATTTATTCTCACTGCGGGATTAACATCTTTTAGTACTTAAGGCCGAGTAAGGCCGTACAAATTATCAATCTTGACATCAAATATGTTCCACTTATAATTTGAAACGGTCAACAGTGGTGCCTGTCCTAGAGGTACCTTGTTCGGTCTTGGACAGAAACCGAATCCAGGGGGAGAATAATACTAGAAATTACGGGGAGCATAAGCTGCAGCATGGCCGGAGGGGACCTTTTTCGCACTGGTAAATAGCCGCTGGAGACTTACACCATAATAAAACTCAATTTAATCAAGATTCACCTTCATTTCCCAGAAAGAGGTGACACACAGTGGATATAAATAACAACAGATAAAACAGCCTCAAATCAGGGCGCGGCGGTAGCTGGTTTAGTATGTTCACGTCCGGCCTGAGTCATATCAAAAAAATAGAAAAAAAAAGGTCAGTCCTCCTTTTTAACACTTACAAGCCGCCGGAGCATTACCGGCTAAAAATCATGCGGATATCGGCTTACAGACCTAACACAGCCAAAAACTACAACGCCCCTTCCTGCTTGATTCTATTCCCTGCTTACCTCGGGGGAGAGTATTCCAGGCGAATTTGGCCGAATTACCTCATCAAAGGGCGCCTTGGGCTCGTAGTAACACTACAGCCTTCAAAAACATCTCAGCTAATAGTAAAATAATCGGGAAAAGATTAACAGGAAAAATCCTTCGATACAAGCAGCAGCATACAGGTCACTAATCACGCAAACCACCAATTCCACAGATGATTAGGCTGCTTCAGTTCAGCACCGGAGCACATTAAGGCATTTTTACAGTTAATTAATAGGCCAAAGAGAATCCAGTAATTAGCTTCCTTATAAAACACCGTCGGCGGTCCATTGGATTGGCAAAGTAACCGCGTTAGGGCGCTATATCATATTCGCGAACTGAGGCTATAGCAAAGAGTTCCTAATAGTCCCACGTTGCTATGTCCAAATATCAAGTGACTTAAAGCTTTTCAGTATAACAATCGGATTAGAGACAGACCACAATATCGAGTGTAAAATAAGGGTTGCATCGAGCTACACAGAATGGGGGGGAAATACCGATAAATAGCTCACATCGCCAGACCAAATCCTTTTCATTTTCGCGAGCAAAGAAGCGGGCCTTAATCAAGGCGCAGTTTTCAGCCGGCAGGGGGCCGCGTCAGCCGACCAGGGAATGGTGCTGGCGACACGGGATAGAGAAGGAGGGTGTGGGAAAGAAGAGAGACGTCATTAAGCAACACACCGCGGGTTTATATAAATACTAAAAGTCACGCGACGGGCGGTAGGCGACAGCAGATCCCGGTCGGGGCTAGCGTCACGGACCAAACCCGATACAGATGCGCTAAACTTCATACAGAGGGCACCATACCAGACGTAGCGACGGGAGGCGCGGCGCTAGACCCGAAGGAGGGGGCGGCCAAATCGGGCGGCGAGCCAGCAAATCGCAATTCTACCTCTTTAAAGCCTATTTTTACTATAATTAAAAAGTTAATCTTCACCACTGTCCGGATAGTTTAACACATTATATAATTTATTAAATACTGCCCAGATTTATTTATTTATTTTTAATTTTTTTATTTTCCGCATAAAATCCACCCCGAGAAGATAATTATTATCTAAAAAGTACTTATATAATAATAATAAGATACTAAAATTATTAGATAACAGGTAATAAATTATTATAATAAACCAGTAAAGACGCCAGTTTATTTTAATACTCCCCCCCTATTTATACTAGTAATTACTAATATTACTAATATCTAGTCTGCCCCCGTGCTGGCAGTAGACATAAATAATATAACAGATATTATATTAATAAGAGACGCCTTTATTAATAATAACTTAAAATTACCTGATAATAATACAGATAATATAAATAATTACTTAATATTTATTTAGGCTATTAGAAAACTTATTAGTTAGTTGCTTAATAAAAAAATATAATAATTAATATAATAATCCGCCCTATCCCGCAAACAAGTATTAAAAATAATAAAATAATTATTAAATACTAAAAACTTTATTAACCTTTATATTAACAAGCCAGAGATAACAGTAGTAAAAAATAATATAAATATTACTACCGCGTAACAGCACCTAGAAATATCTAATATTACCAGAAGTAAGAATAAGCTAAATAATAAAATAAAATAGGAGTTTTAAGAATAAAATATTAAAAAGCTTAATAATACTAATAATAATAGTAATAATAAGGAGGCCCCCCCTACTAAAAATAATATAATAATTTAATTATATTAGGCTTCAGCCACAACACTAAGTTATACTAATATATATAAGCATTTTAAACTAGACTTAGCCACCTCTGAGCTTATTATAAAATTAGATACCCGGCTTCTTTTTTTTATAA